GCTGACAACATTCTGCTTCTTGGATCTGGGCTGAAACACCTTCAGTCTCTTGCCTTGTCGCCTTCTCAGCAGGACCCACACTTCCTGTAGCCAACATGGAATGGAGTTTGCCAGCTAAGTAGGAGTTAGCATTCACCTGGGCAGGGGTGGAGGGGACAGCAGGGCAGCGGTTGTTGCTGCTGCTGCTGCTCCTCCTCTTCCTCCTCCTCCTCTTCCTCCTCCTCCTTTCTTTCCTCCTCTTTCTCCTCCTCTTCCCCATCTTCTCCCTCTTCTCCTCATTCTCCTCTTTCTCCTTCTTCTCTTCCTTCTCCTCCTCCTCCTTTCTCCTCTTCCTCTACTTCTTTTTCCTCTTCCTCCTTTCTCTTCCTCCCTCCTCCTTCCTCCTTTTTCTTCCTTCTTCCTGCTTTCTTCCTTCTCCTTCTTCCTTCTTCCTTCTTTCTTCTTTCTCCTCCTCCTCGTCTTCCTCCTCCTCCTCCTCCTTCCTACCCTCTCTCCTCCTCCCTCATCTTCTCGCTTCCTCCTCCTATTCAGTGCTTGGCATGGACTCAAAGCTTCCTCTTGATTCTCCAGCCCTTTTAGTCCCACCCCGTGTCTCTCCATCTTAACCAGAGAACAAACAGGAACCAAGCACAAGCTTTCTTTCTCTGAGTTGACTCAGTCTCTTGCTCCTGCTCAATCAATATTTTCTTTTAAAAAAGTTTTCCCTTCTCTTTATTGTGAGGACTGGAGGTTGCCCACACATGGTCACCAGAGGCCTCCCACTTGTCACATTGCCTGCACACATGCTGGTGGCAGGCCACTGGCACAATGGCTGCTCTTTGTGGTGGCCCCAGGGATGAGGAGCAGGGGCTCTGGGGTGTGGTAGGGACTGACCTCTTGGCCTGAAGGAGTTCAGGTTTGCACAGCAGGCACTGCTATTCTAGGCCCTGCCTCAGCCACTAGGATTTCACACACTTTCTGTTTTGTGTCATTTGAAAATGTTAGACTTTTGGAGTGTTTTTTTGAGGGGGCCCACCCAGAGGTGCTCAAGAATCACTCTTGGTGGGGCTTGAGAAACCATATATGGTGTAGGCAGTTCGTCAGCTACCTGCAAGACAAATACCCTTTCCACTGCCCTGTCTCTTTAGTCACTGATGAAAATGCTGAGGAGGATGCGTGTGTGTGTGTGTGTGTGTGTGTGTGTGTGTGTGTGTGTGTATGAGAGAGAGAGAGACAGAGACAGAGACAGAGACAGAGACACAGAGAGAGGGGGAGAGAGAAAAAGGCAGAGAGGGAGGGAAGGAGAGAGGGGGAGGGAGAGCACCTTATTCTTCATAATCAACATCATAGCCCCTTGGCTGTCCATCACTTTACACCATCTGAGCCACTTACCTCTCTGACCTCCTGAGAGTGAGGTTGCACAGTTCTTAAGATTTCATTGCTGATCACATCAACCTGATTCTGCATTCCAGCACCACCATTTCTCTGTGAATCCTTGAACTTTCAGCTTCTAGGTGGCTCCTTTTGTCAGTGTTGGCTAAAATCCATATAACACTGCAACAGAGACTGTAGCCTAGAGGCTAGTGAAACTTCACTTGAACCTTTTCATTTGGTTTGGATTTTGAATTTACTTGAAGTTCCCAATTTATGTTGCAGTATTTTTTTCAGAGAAATTAGAATTCAGCCATTGGATTGAGAGAGTGTTTTCAAGACATGCAGGTGTCAGCCAGCCCCTTACTGTGTAAAGTCTCTGGACTGGCTTGGACTCAGCTCTTCCTGCTTCCTACTGGCCCCTGCTGGCTTATCTTGTTGAATTTGAATTCACATTCTCTGCTCTTTCTTTTCTAAAACTGAAGGGGAAAGCCAGAGGGAAAACACAGGTCTTGCAATTAAAGAAAGATGAAAGAGATGCAGCCCCTGCTTTTTAGAGAGGTTCATTCAGCCTTTTATTTAGGGAATTCAGTGATCCCTGTGGTTACTGGTTTTCATTTATGAGGATCCTGTAGATCTATGTCACTCTTTCAATAAGTATTTACTGGGTGTCTACTTTATACCACATATTTTGGAAGATAAGAGCCATATAAAGAAAGTCGAAGAATAATTTGGGGGAGTAGTTCCAGCTGAGCCCGGTGCTCTCTTTTGGCTCTGTGCTCAGGGATCAGTCCTGGTGATGTTCCAGGGACCAGATGTGGTGCTGGAGATTAAACTGGGCATGGTCATGTGCAAGGCAAATGCCACAGAAAAGTAAATTTAAAATACCAAAACGAAGTAGATTACACATAAAGCCCAGTGAATGACTTTGTCTTTTATAATGATGTTCACAGAAACAACTGTGAAAATTTGGTCGTGCCAGTTCATTGCTACTGAGATCTAAAGTGCTCCCGTGGTGTCTTTTGGAGATTCTATTCTAGGAGGCAGTTCGGGGAAGGGGGATCTGAATTGGGGAGGGCCAGGTGTGTGGGCTAGGAAGCTGTGTATAAATGCCCCGTGTGAGTGGATGGAGTGTGTGGGGGGCAGGGGATGGGGTTGGAGGGCAGACAAAGAGAGGGGTTATATGCAGAGGAAGGAAATTTCAATGGTCTGAAAGATCATGTGAGCAGAATGTCAGTGCCCAAGGAAGGAGAGATGTTTCTAGATCAGAGCAGAGAGAAAGAAACAAACCCAAGCCAAAGAGCAGCCCTGTGAGGGAACAGTCTGTGGATGAGTATCGGGAGGCAAGACCAGTGTGTCATTGTATTTTTACATTTTCTTCCTATGACCATAGTTTCAAAACTTCGATTCAATCTTCTGTTTTGCTTGGGGGGCACCTCCCACCCCCTCCTACCCCCATGCCTTGCTCACGGGGCTCACGACCCCTCCCAGTGTTTCTCAGCCAACTGGGCTGGTGGCTGGTGCTCAGGTCCTGCAACACAGGGACAACCTCAGCCACCCATGCAAGTGATTGGTGTCACCAGGGCTACAACCAGTGATGCCGGGGGTCCCCCGTGCTACTCTTGCTGGTACTTGAGGGACCATGTGGTGCTGGGGATCAAGCCAGGTTCAGGTTTGCTGAACCTATATTACCTCCCAACCCTATTTTCTCTCTTAAATCCTTTCCCCAGGGTTCAAATCTATCGTTCCCATACCCTGATCTATACAGGTTGTGCGTGTTCAGCAGATCCAGGACTAAACTTGTGCCTCAGCCCCCAAACTTGCATTATTACCCACCTTCCAGGTTTCAAATGAGAACTTTTCATTCCTATAGAATGGCTCTTTGTTGTTGGTTTTATTTGTCTGTTTGTTTTTTGCCTTTTTGGGTCAGACCCAGCAATGCACAGAGGTTACTCCCAGCTCTGCACTCAGGAATTAATCCAGGCAGTGCTCAGGGGACCATATGGGATGCTGGGAATCGAACCCAGGTCAGCCGCATACGAGGCAAATGCCCTACCTGCTGTGTTATCACTCCAGCCCCTAGAATGATTCTTAATAAGGAAGAAAAGTCTTTTCTACTTCACTCAGCATTCATGCATATGTTGGAACTCATAGAGCATGGACAAAGATTTCTAATACCATGTCTTACAATTCCTCTTTTGAAAAATTCTGATGTCCGCATTCAAAAGACATACAGGATCCTCAAAAGGGAAGGCAACCAGTAATTTGGTGAAACTGAAACATCAAATGCATTGTTTCATTGATCTGTTTCAAATGTATTTGGTCATGTAAGCCCATCTGCCATTCATGCCAGAGCTCACAGTGCTGTGACCCATTCATTCATTCATTCATTCACTCACTCAGTTAGAATTTAGTGAGTGTCTGGGTGATGCCAGGCCCGAGCCAGGCCCCTGGATCTGGACACTAATAACTACTTCTTCAGATCTCTTTGTTTCCTCAATGCTTAGCAGTAGTCCCTCAGAGCTCATGTTTCCTTCTTTTCACACTCCAACTTTCACACTTGTCCTTCTCTTGGGTTGCCTTGTTGGTCATCACGGTCCCAGATGCAGCACAAGATGCTTACACCCCAGAGCAGGATGTCACATGGGAAGAGGGTGAGCTAGATATTCCTACCTGCTCTGCACCTTCCTAACCCGACCCTGTTTTCTGTGGATACTTTGAAGAGTCTCATATTTGCATAGAGCTCGCTGCATGCCATGTGGTGGTGTCATCCCAGATGAGGCAGGTGCGACTCTCACACCTCGTTTGCATAGGAAAAAATTGAAGTTGACTCAGGTTAGTTCTTGCACAGGCTTCTGGCTAATAAGCAAGGGATCAAGGATTTGAACCCAGGAAGACTGAGTCCAAGGCTGGCTCTTTATCTTTCAAGCCCACTCTATGCAATGATTTATTACCATCAAGGATATAATAGCAGTTGAGGGCAAGACTGGAAATTCCAGTGAGTTGGCCAGTTCCAACCCACTTCATTCCTTAGCCAAGCCAAACATGACAGTAACGGGAATACAGATGGGGGGAAAAGAGGAAGTGTTGATAGAAAAAAAAGGACAGTGTTGGAAGAAGTTTTGGGGAAGAGAAAACTATCAATCACACAAAGATCTTACTGATGTTGAGCATTACAGCCCAGAGAGAATGGGCTTTTCCCAGGCTGTCTGACTTGCTTCTTGGAAACTATCTCATGCCCCCACAGAAAGTTTTGGGGGAGAAGAAATACCAGAATTCTTAGAACTATTAAGTAATGAGGTATCTGATACTGAAGTGAAGGGCAAAAGCACATGAAAAACTCAGACTTCACTCCAGCGCCATGAAGATGACTGATACTGTCTGAGCTCAGAGCCTCCTTCCTAGGTTTGGAGTTGATGAAATGCAGCAGATTTAAGCTGTCTTACTGCGTTTGCTAAAACACAGGCATTCATCTTGGGTGGCTTTTTAGCTAGGTTTGTTTTTATTGAAATAAAATCCTGGCACATGATAACAGGGGTTAAGAAAAAAATCCCACCGAGTTTCATCATATGCAGTGTGTGTTTTCTACATTGGAGAATTTCAAGTGCTTTGAAATAAGTCTGTTCCCACAATTTCCTGCTTTCTTCTAGGTTCTTGGAACGCCCAATGAGGACACGTGGCCAGGAGTTCATTCTTTACCACATTTCAAGCCAGGTATGTTTAGTTCATTACCATTGACTAAGTGCTTCGTATGTGCAAAGGGGAATATATAAATGTTCACTCCCAAGTTAATCTGTTACCTTGGAGAATTCTAGTTACGTTTGCCATTGCATATTTTTACCCTTTCATGCTCATGCTGTTTGTCTGTAAAGATAATGTTAATGGAGCTCCTCAGGCAAGATTTTTCACCAGGTATAGTTGACTTGGTTTGAAGGACTAATTTTGAAGCAGTTATTAATTTTATGATTGTTAAATGTTCACGGATATAAAAATTATATTTGAGCAGTATAATCTATCAGTGTGACTTCTCGCAATACTACCACAAAAGTGTTAAATTATAGAAAGAATAACATTTGAATTTCTTTTTTCAAAGCTAGAAACATATAGTCTGTTAATTTAAGTTTAAACATATTGAATGCTTCAGTATCCACTTGTACATCATTTAATATTTTTAGAATAAAATTCTGGAACCCCTAAAATGGAAAATTTTACATTTTACATAAAGTGAAAAATAAATTGAAACTTTTAAAATAACATGTAATGTTTTTTTATATCAGTAGGTGGCAGTAATGAATTTGTTGTAAAAATTACATTTAATCTCAACAGTGATCTATTTAATTTTTATAGGAAGGATGAAAGGTTTGGAATTAGAAATTTAATAAAAATCAGTGGAATGGATTCTTGTAAAATGAGTTTTTTTCTTTTCTTGGTTATAAAGCATGGCTTATAGAATGCAGACTTCCCATAAAATTTCCTGAAAGGGATTTTATGAAAGATCTAATAGTTCATTATTTTATGAGGGAAAATAGCTGTGAATAATTTCTGTTAGGGGAGCCAATTATATTCTTTTTTACTTCTTTCTTTCTTTTGAGGAACCATGAAGAATAAATTATCAATCCCAAAGAGAGATTGAGTTGGGAAACTATTTTTTTCTCCTAACATTTATCTTCTCAAAGTGTACTCTGTGCTGAAAATTCTTTTATCTTCTTCAGTTGCCCCAAGGACTCTTTGTACTTTACTGAAATTTTAAAATAACTTCTATGTTTGTAGACTGTATAAAACTTAACAGTTTAAGGTAGATTTTATTCTTTTTTAAACCAAGCAAGATGCATCCTTTAACTGCTATGCTTGTTCCTAATAGAATCTAAGTGAGAACACAGCTCTTCATGAATGTTCCAAATATGGGCTCTTACAAGAAGCTTAGCTTTCCCCTGTTAGTGTCGAAAACCTTGCAGACTAGGGAAATAAAGCAGAGAATATGAAAAGATTTCCAAGTGAATAAATTTAGATACAGGAAGGGACAATTAAGACAACCATTTGGCCTGCCAAATTTCTTCACTAGAAAACATGGAATTATTTGTTTATCTCGGTGGAATAGAATTTATCTTCATCAGAAGTGTGCTCTGGATAAAGCTATCATATAATGCAAATTAAGTTAGCAGACTGGAACCCTCACAAGATCAGTTACTGTATTTAGTACATATTTTGTGTTCAGTCCATGCTTGTTTCCCTGAATTATATTGAAAACTTCAAAGTGACATTATCCCCTCTCTTCTCTTCCCCCAGCTGCAGTGAATAGGGTTGCTTGCACACATGGTCGAGGTGCTTGCAAGTGCTTTGGGCTGTGCTACTCTCTAGGGGTTTCTCTCCTTTAGAGGCAGAGCTGCGTATGTGGTTTGTGGTTGCACACATAAACTGGGGAGGGGCGGGGAGGGGATTGTTCTGCCCTCAGTGTTCGTACATCTTTTTAGTTGTGGTGCTTGCCCAGTACCACCCGTTGTAGTCACAGTGTGCTTACACACACACCTGGTGCTGTGTGACTGTAAATTGTTTGGAACACCCCCAGATCACAGGACCAGAGAGGTAGTTGAGTGGACTGGGGGCAGGTTTTGCAGGCTTAAGGCTCAGGTTTTATTTCCTTGACCAGATGGTTCCCCAAGCACCAATGGTTGCAATCCACATCTTCCCCCAGCTCAGAGCCAGGTGTAGCCCCAGAGTAGCTCATAAAACAAACAAAAGGTGCAGCTCATAAAACAAACAAAAACTCAAAACCAAGGATCAGTAAGTGCCATCGGGCCACAGCCAGGCAGAGTCACTGGGGTTCCAGTGTTCCTCTTAGTCCGGGTAGGCAGCACTTGGGACTGAATTTGAAACGCATGCTATTTTTTTTTAATTGAATCACCATGAGATACAGTTACAAGCTTTCATGTTTGAGTTACAGTTACACAATGGTCAAACACCCATCCCTCCACCAGTGCAAGTTCCCCACCACCAATATCCCCAGTATACATACCCCACTTTCCCACCCTCCCACTGTCTCCATGGCAGACAATATTCCCCATAATCTCTCCCTACTTTGGGGCATTATGGTTTACAATGCAAATAATGAAAGGTTATTAGAACCACATTCTTCTAAGACACACACCTGAGCTTCCAAGCCATCTCCCAGTCCCCCCAAGTTGCCTTATTTAGATGGTTCTTCTGGAGGACAGATTAAGTTACTGATATTATATGTAAGCACTGTTATACACATATAATATGTAGAAGATACAGAAGTACTAGAAAATAATGTATAGATGGTAGTAGGTGTGGCACTGAAAATGAAGAAAGATTTAAAAAAAAATTGGTCCAGTGGATGAGTGGATGTAGTAAGTGCTTCCTTAGTTGGCTGCAGAGGAGTCAAGGAAAGACAGGGCAATCAGCAAGAACAGATGAATGGTTAAAGAAACTTTGGTACATCTACACAATGGAGTACTATGTAGCTGTTAGAAAAGATGAAGTCATGAAATTTACATACAAGTGGTACAACATGGAAAGTATCATGCTAAGCGAAATGAGTCAGAAAGAGAGGGATAGACATAGAAATATTGGATTCATCTGGGGGATATAAAGTAACAAAATATGAGATTAATACCCAAGAATAGTTGAGATCAGCACCAGGAGGATTACTCCATAGCTTAGAGGCCAGCCGGGCATTCTAGGGGAAAGGGCAGCTCAGATAGAGAAGGGAGCACCAAATAAAGGGTGTTTGGAGGATCCTCTCAGGAGGGGAGATGCATGTTGAAAGTAGACTATGGACTGAACATGTTTGCCACTCAATGCCTCTTTTGCAGACCACAACACCCAAAAGGAGAGAGAGAACACAAGGGATTGCCCTGCCACAGAGACAGGGTGGGATGGGGGGATGGGGGTGGGAGGGATATTATCCATGGTGGTGGAAAATGGGCACTGGTGGAGCGATGGGTATTTGATCATTATATAATCGAAACCCAAGCACAAAAAATTGTAAATCTACAACTGTACCTCATGGTATTTCACTAATAAAAAAAAAAACTGACATCAGGTAACCTCAAACTATATGAAAAAATAAAGACATTTGGAAAAAAGATAATTTATCTTATAACATATATTTTACATAGCTAACTGTAGTTACTCCTGTAGAATTACCCTAGTATGTATTTTCTCTAAATATATATGTCAATATAAACTTAGTGTAACATCAAAAACAAAAATTTACTTACAAATAAATGCTTATAAAAAAAAAAAAGACAGGGCAATGGGGTTGGTGCAAAGGAAACAAATCTGAGTCCTTGCATGTAATATACAGCCCGCCCTTCCCAGAGGGCGCTTGTCTGATCCCTGGCCCTCATACTGCAGGCTTAAGAGATTTGCATTCACAGAGGAGGAGACTATCAGTGTTGAAGTCCAGTCAGTGGACCCCCCATCCTTCACCTTCCTATCGTGCTGTGTCCCCTCGCCCATACCCCAGCAGTGACCCTGTCCTAGATCAGGGCAGAGCAATAGTAAACACAGTGATAGAATTGGGGGACATGACTAAGAATTTTAAGAAGTTCTTGAAATGTCTTGCTGTCAAGGAAAATCCCAGGAGTTACTTGAGCTGAGTGTATACATGGTATTTTTATGTTCCAAACCTATTTTCTATTAATAAATATGTTTTAGGGAAGAGGCCTGCTTGGGAGTCCAGGGGCCACTCCCAGTGTGCTCAGGAGTCTCCAGAACTTGCCCCAGCAATGCAGTGTTGTGGGTGGAGGTGGGGGGATGCATGTGGTACCGGGGTTCTTCCTTGGGTTTCCCATAGAAAGCTTTGCCTGGTGTCCCTGAGTCCAAAGCCAAAACTATTTTACAGAATGGAATAGTAGAACTGGGAGAGGCCTCAGGCAGGGAGCATCTACTTCTTTCTCCTTTCTCTGGCCAGAAACCTGAGGTCAGAGGTATTAGAACTCTTCCTGGAAGCGAATCATGCTCCTGACCGAACAGTGTCACGAGCTTTCATTGTTCTTTCAGAACACATCATATTGACAATTGTTCCCATAAAGGAAATATCTGGAAAGTGGCAAGAATCTGATCTTTGTCTTTAGTGAAATTCATAACTCTCACTTTATATAAAATGGTTTGGCTCTGAAATGACATTAGACTCCATGTGTAATACTTTCATTCATCTCTTCAGTGTGCCCAACAAAAGGGACATTGAGCAGCTGTTTAATGAAAGATTATTATTCAGGAGTTCAGAATGGGAGGCACTGTAAAATTCAGGGAGAAAAAATTACTGCTAGACCGGAAGCAATTACAAGTAATGACATTTAGAATAAAATAATTCTAATTTCCCAAATCAAGCAAGAGAACAGAGCATTTCTAAAGAGATTACATTATTCCTAAGAGAAAGTTATTCAATATAAGAGGCTGCTTGATTAAGGAAAGTTTGATGACAATGGGATTTCTTCAAATGAAGTTAGAGCAATAAGGAAGAATTTATCACTGGAGGCAAAAATGCAAAAAGATGGTATTTTAAACTACCCCAAACAAGCCCACTGACCTTCAAAGGAACATCCATCTGCATACAGGCTAAGTGGTACTATTTCAGTTCAAAGGGGAATCCGCTGCCTGATAGTTCCTTTCCCACAGCCCTTTAACTCTTGACATCAAGAATCTTTTATTTGTTTTTTGGTTTGGGGCCACTCCCAGTGGTGCTCAGA